CTTGGGATTTTCCTTTCTTTCATTGAGTACAGACTGGGATGGCTAATAATCAGATTGCCTTTCCCCCTTTTTAGCTAAAGGGGTTGGGGCCCATAACTCAGGCCAGAGCACTGAGACCCTCCCTTCCTGGAATTTAAAACCTGAGCAGGCTGGGCTGGGCGCAGTGGCTCATACCTGTAATCCCAGCACTTTGGGAGGCCAAGGTGGGAGGATTTGTTGAACCTGGGAGGTCGAGGCTGCAGTGAGCCATGGTCATGCGAGTGTACTCCAGCATGCGTGACAGAGGGAGATGCTACATTGAAAACTAAAACCAAACCAAGCCAAACCAAAACAAAAACCTGAGCAGGCTGATTCCAAGACTGGAAATGGCCATAGTACCTTCCTTGCAGCCACTTTGCCTGCGGGATACTGGCTAGTAGTTCCTGCTGCTTGAACCTCAGGAAATACTCTTTGTATCTCCTTCCCAACCTGCATAACCCAGCTTCCCTGTTGATTGTGTGCTCCTTTCCCCATTCCTTTTCTTTTTCTTTTCTTTTTTTTTTTTTTTTTTAATGTTTTCTGGAGACGGGGTCTGGCTGTCATCCAGGCTCAAGTGCAGTGGTATGATCATAGGTCACTGAGGCCTCTTAACTCCTGGGTTCAATTGATCCTCCCACCTCAGCCTCCTGAGGAGCTGAGACTATAGGCACAGGCCACCATGCCCAGCTACTTATTTTATTTTTTGTAGAGACAGGAGTCTTGCTGCGTTGTCCAATGATTTCCATTTGCCCCCTTAAGTTAGTCAGGTCCAATTACCTGCAACTAAAGAAGTAGAACAACCTCAGAGGAACGTAGAAAGTTTACAAAATTGCTGTAAATAATATACTTGTCTTTGGAAGCTGGTATCTATATTAAGAATGATCTTTACAGTTTTATTTTTGGGTGCTGAGTCAGTTTTATCCCAGAGGCTAAAAACTAAGCAACCCTAAGTTGACAACTGTACAAAATTGAAGAACCCCAACTTGAACATTTCAATTTTGAAAGGGATTTCAGATTCATCAAGAGACTGATAGCTCTGCTGCACCTAAATCTAATGACAGGTAAAATCCAAGTGATGGGGATCAATAAGAATTCTCAGGTTCCCATCCCCTCAACCACTGGCAAAGAAGTACAGTAGGCCCCCTTATCTGTGGCTTCACTTTCCGCAATTTCAGTTACCTGTGGCCAACCATGATCTGGAAATATTAAAGGAAAATTCCATAAATAAACAATTGATAAGTTTTAAATTGTGTGCCATTCTGAGTAGCATGATGAAATCTCTCACTCCCCAGCCTGTGTGGGATGTGAATCCCTCCTTAGTTCACACTGTTTATGCTACCTACCTGTTAGTCACTTAGTGGATATCTTGATGATCAGATCAAAGAAACATAGTATATGTAGGGTTTGGTACTATCTGCAGTGTCAGGCATCCACAGGAAGTCTTGGAACGTGTCCCCTTCAGATAAGAGGGGGCTAAGGTATGTTACAAAAAATTCAAACTTCCACCATGCTTCGTATTAGAAAATAGTGTTACTTCCCCATTCTTAGAATACCCAGCACTTTCCTGTGGGAACTCAGCTCTGTTCCCTTTGCTTATGGGGGTAGGGGAAGACTAGAGATGAGAGTCAGTCTATTCTGACGTTACCGTCCCCATCCAGGTAAAAGCACCGTATAACTCTACCCTTAGGAAATCCTCGTCTTAATTTTTTCTGTCAACGTAAGAGGTGATAGTGTTTTAGCTGCAACTGCCAGATCCAGGGAATAATTTCCCGTTTGGTAGCTGCCATGTACTACTCCAATGGCCAGAACCACTTTATTTTATTTTATTTTTTTAGAGACAAGGTCTTGCTATGTTTCCCAGGCTGGTCTTGAACTCCTGGGCCCAAGCAGTCCTCTCACCTTGGGCTCCCAAAGTGTTGGGATTATAAGCATGAGCCATAGTGCCCAGCCAGAGCCACTTTAAATACATAATTTCCAACTTCAGCTGGGCCACTGACGCTATTTAACAGTTTCATTCTAGGAAGCCCTCCTTGTCAGTTCCTCTCATGCTCCCAGTTTCCTTTCCCTCAGTGTATCCTGAACACCTAACTCATGCCACTGTTACTATAGCATTTATTGAATAGGACTGACATTGTTTCTTTACAAGCCTCTCAAAAAGAGAGGAACCTTGTCTTACTCATCTTTGCATTGTCTAGTACAATATTTGGAGTAAAATGCTATGAATGCTGTCATAGTATATTTGTGTTGCTATAACAAAATACCTGAGATTGGGTAATTTATAAAGAACAGAAATTTATTTCTCACAGTTCTGGAGGCTGGAAAGTCCAAGCCCAAGGCACTGGCACTTGGCATCTGGTAAGGTCTTCTTGCTGCATCCTCACATGGCAGGTGGAAGGGCAAGAATGACGAATCCTGTGTCCTCACATTGCAAAAAGATTGAACAGAGTGGACCCCCTCCCACAAACCCTTTTTATAAGGGCCCCAGTCCATTCAGGGTAGAGCCCTCATAACTTAATCACCTCCCAAAATACCAAGCCTCTTAATACCACCACAATGGAGATTAAGTTCAACATGATTTTTGGAGGGGGCACCATCATTCAAACCTCAGCAAATACTTATTAAGTGAATAAATGCCCAATACAGAGTGAAGCCAGTTGTAGATATGCTGGTAGCAAAAAGGACTAGAAGAGACTGAAGTTATCAATGCAAAGAGCATCCTTTTCAGATAGGCTGAGTGAAGTGGCCTGAAGTATCAAGGCCAGTTAGCGGCAGTGCTGAGAATAAACCCATGTGGCAAAACTCCAAAAATATGCTCTTTTCTACTTTACCTTTTGGAAGCTCTTCTAGAACCTAATCTTCTATAATCGACTCTCAGATGTGACAGGCTGTGCTGTTCAGCCATTCTTTGCTTTCTGAGTTTCAGGGAGAACTTGTTTATGAAACTAGATAATTCTAGCTTTATTTCTCACTGAGTTCTCCCCTGACCCATCTTTGCTTTGACGAGAGTTCACTTGAATTGCTTCGATAATCGGGTTTATCAAAAAAACTACCTAAGGAATCTAAAGTCATCAATTGTTTAGACTTCTGCTAATTAATTTTTCCCCAATTTTTTTTTTTTTTTTTTTTTTTTTTTGAGACAAGGTCTCACTCCCTCACCCAGGCTGGAGTGCAGTTGTGTGATCTCAGTTCACTGCAACCTCCACCTCCTGGGTTGAAGTGATTCTTATGCCTCAGCCTCCTGAGTAGCTGGAATTTCAGGCACACCACCACACCTGGCCAATTTTTGTATTTTTAGCAGAGACAGGGTTTCACTGTGTTGGCCAGGCTGGTCTTGAGCTCCTGACCTCAAGTGACCCACCAGTCTTGGCCTCCCAAAGTGCTGGAATTATAGGCATGAACCATCACCATCACGGCTGGCCTAAACATGTTTCTTTAAGATGATTTTTGAAAAATTTACAATGCAGTGAGAAAGTCATTTCAATTTTGCTGTTTTCCCAACATCCAGAAACACATTTTATGTAATGGTTATTCTTGCCTTAACCAGACAGCACTCTTTTATATTTACATATATTTTTGGAGTGTGCAATTTTGCAAGTGATGATTTCCATGATAGACAGGGAAAACTGAGTAAAATCTAAATTTGGCAAAAAATTTAGTTTGTATTTGAGTGTTTACTTTTTTTATAACTGGTAGTAACTATATATAATGACAAAGTAACAACAACGAAGTTTAGAAATTTACGACTCCAATGTGAAACACTAATTATATTGATTTATATGTATTATGAACCTAAGTGTGTCTACCTAAACATATTAGGATGCTTGATGACAGATCAGAATTGCTGTCTTATAGCCAAAGTTCATTAAAATAAAATCATGATTGTCTTAGTTTAGGCTGCTATGACAAATTACCATAGATTGGGTAGCTAAAGCAACAGAAATTTCTTTCTCATGATTCTGGAGACTGGGAAGTCCAAGATCAAAATGCTGGTAGATCCAGTGTCTGGTGAGACCCCCTGCTTTCTGAATTGTAGATGGTTGTCTTTTTGTATCCTTACATGGCAAAGAGCAGAGAGCAGAAGCAAGACCTTCTTTTAAGGTACTAATCCCAGCCATGAGGATTCTACCCTCATGACCTAATCACCTTTTACAGGCCCCACCTCCTAATACCATCACATTAAAGGTTAGGAGTTTAACATACAATTTTCTTTCTTTTTTTTTTAGACTGGGTCTTGCGCGGTCATTCAGGCTGGAATGCAGTGGTACGGTCATGGCTCACTGCAGCCTCAACCTCCTGGGCTCAAGTAGTCCTCCTGCCTTGGTCTCCCAAAGTGCTGGGATTACAGGCATGAGCCACCACGCTTGGTCAACATGTGAATTTTTGGAGGACACAAACATTCAGTCCATAACAATGATGTAGAGTAAAAATTAAAAAGTACTGAAAGGAAGTCTTCATTTATAAGTAATATAAAAATCGGCACCAGGCACAGTGGCTCATGCCTGTAATCCCAGCACTTTGGGAGGCCAAGGTGGGTGGATCACTTAAAGTCAGGAGTTCGAGACCAGCCTGGCCAACATGGTGAAACCCCATCTCTCCTAAAAAAAATATATATATAAGAATTAGCTGGGCCTGATGGCGTGTACCTGTAATCCCAGCTAATTGGGAGGCTGAGACAGGAGAATTGTTTGAACCTGGGAGGTGGAGGTTGCAGTGGGCCAGGATCATGCCACTGCACTCCAGTCTAGGTGACAGAACAAGACTCCATCTCTAAATAAATAAAAAAATAAATAGGGAGAGTGGGCATAATATAAAACTGATACTTGGCCTGGTGCGGTGGCTCACGCCTATAGTCCCAGCACTTTGGGAGGCCAAGGTGGGCAGATCACAAGGTCAGGAGTTCGAGACCAGTCTGGTCAACATGGTGAAACCCCATCTCTACTAAAAATACAAAAATTAGCTGGGCGTGGTGGTGGGCACCTGTAATCCCTGCTACTCGGGAGGCTGAGGCAGGAGAATCATTTGAACCTGGGAGGCGGAGGTTACAGTCAGCTGATTTTGTGCCACTGCCCTGTAGCCTAGGTGACAGAGTGAGACTCTAACCCCAAAAAGAAAACAAAACAAAAGCAAAAACAACAAAACAAAGAACAAAATAACCTGATACTTGTAGTATCAGTTTTAAAGCAGAGGTATGAAGATATTTAAATTGTATTTCAATGATGCAGAAGGTGTATTTTTTATTTAGAGATTCTTGATGAATATCTTCTGTAAATTGCCTGGGTTTTTTATTATTATTATTATTATTATTATTATTATTATTATTGCTGGTTTATAGCTGTTTTTCAGTTCACGCAGTAAAATTTTACTGGGTTATTTGATTTTTTTAGAGTCATCCCTCAGGTGAATTTATATTACAGAAGTAAAGTTGAAGCCATTCTTAAGATGTGGAACTTACTCCTAGATCCTGATAGAACTAGTCAAATTGAGATATATTAACACTGTATCTTGGCAAATTTGCCTAGATAAGTCTTTATGATTTTCTATCATGTGACTCTGAACAGTTATACACTGGAAAAAAAGTAAAATATATTATCAAACCATTACCCTATGTGATCCTCAAGAGCTAGAACAAAGTCTTAATGTTTCTATTTTTAACACCTACCAATGTCTAAGACATAGTAGGAGCTCAATAAATGTTTCATAATCAAAGGCTCTGGGTCTCCTTGCCCCTTCCAGAACCCTATAATTATTGTTCATATTCTTTCAGCAGATTCCAATGTCAAAACAGATGACTCTTGTATACTAGTACACAGTAAGTGCTTGATAAATGTTAAATGGAAAAATTTGTTTTAGTACGTCTCCATCCACAGTCTCTGTTAGCAGTGTGCCTTGTGATATGGAGAAGCTTATCAATTATTTATTCCTCAGAAACTTTCCACAAATGATCATCGTAATGATAAATTTAGAGGAAGTAATATAGTCAACTATGAATTATACATGTCTGAGTTATCCATACTGTCTTTGGCTTAAGCCATTATCAATCCCTGGAAGCCAAGCCCTGGTGAGCAGTCCATGGTCCTTTTATTGGTGGTAAGCTTTCCCTTCCAAGCCAGTTTGATGGCTGGGGGAAGTAGTTTGGACCCCCATGTCTTTTTATGGCTTTAGCTGTGTCTCTGGCCTTTGGGAACCAGGCAGTGGGGTCTGCCACCTGTCTGGTTAGAATCTGCAGACCTACTTTAGTTCCCATGTGCTCAACTTCATGATGTCCTTCTGGCCTGGAATGTTGGCTTTAACCTAGTTGGGTTATGGGAAACTGTATCAAGCCCTCATCTAATTGAATATATCATACATAGTTTACTAGTTTAATAATTTGCAAATGGACTACTGGAGTTTCTGAACTTGAGCGATGAGTGCAGCATTGGGCTTTATTAACATGGCACAGCAGAGGCGTAGACAGTGATGTTAATATGTAGTTGGACGGACATACAGGATCTTGGTTCAGTGTGCTTCCAGTACTGCCAATGAGGGAAGAGTTTTGGCTACTGGACTTCACGCATTTTACTTAAAAAGAGAATTTCAGCCTGCAGCTCTGTGATTTGGTTCTATTGAAACAGGTATATCAGCAGAGGGGTTTTGGTGATTATCATCCAAATTCATTTTGTTTTCATTCTACCCACTAGATTTGGCTTGTTGTGTGACTTGACTCCGGGGGAGAAGACAGTAAATTGAATGGAATTCGAATATTTGTTCAGTTCTGTTGACAGAGGTTTTTCAATGTAAATTAATAAATTCGTGTTCTGGTGTCTGCTCTGTCTCCAGTACATTTTAGCTTGTCTGAGTCCTCTTTGAGGACCTGATCATGTCTGGGTACCAGAGACTGATAACAGCTCAAATCAAAGGGATTGATAACAGCTTAAACCAAAGACAGGATGGACAGCTAGAGATAGTCTCTAAGCCTTCAACTAGGAAGATCAGATCCTAGAACATGGAGCTAAATTAATTGATAAATCACTCGCGAACCTACTAACAGCCAGGCATTATTAGAGGCGCTGGGGCTGCAGTAATGGCCCAAGCACACAGGCCTCTGGTCTTCTCCCTACTGCACACTTTAGTGGGGTGTACAGGCAGTCAATGCTAAGTAACCAAGGTGATGTTAGCCAATGTCAAGTGCTCTGATGAAAGGATGTGATGGAGAGTGACTGTGTGGCTGTCTTAGAAAGGATGGTGGCCAGGCACAGTGGCTCATGCCTGTAATCTCAGCACTTTGGGAGGCTGAGGCGGGCAGATCACGCGGTCAGGAGTTCAAGACCAGCCTGACCAATATGGTGAAACCCTGTCTCTACTAAAAATACAAAAATTAACCAGGTATGGTGGTGCGTGCCTGTAGTCTCAGCTACTTGGGAGGCTGAGGCAGGAGAATCGCTTGAACCTGGGAGGCAGAGGTTGCAATGAGCTGAGATCGCACCACTGCACTCCAGCCTGAGCAACAGAGTGAGACTCCATCTCAAAAAAAAAAAAAAAAAAAAAAAAAAAAAAAAAAAAGGATGGTAAGGGAGTAAGGTGACATGTGAACTGAGAATGGAATGACATATAGGGCCAGCCAAGCCAAGGTGGTGGTGTTGAGGGAGGAGACACGAAGGGAGACCACTCCAGAGTGAGGGAAGTGCAGGTTCCAAGGCCATAAACAGGAAGAGGCGGGGCATGTTTAAGGAGCAGAAAGGGGACCAGTGGATGGAGTGTTGTGAGCTGGGGGAAGGGCAGCTCATGAAACTTGAAGGTTGTGATAAGAAGTTTAGAGTCTGGAAATGGGAAGCCATTATTTAGTGTTCAGCCAAGGAATTTAAATAATCTCCTCACACTCTTGGTGCTGGGGCTACATTAGTGAATAAAACACAGATAAAAGCCCTTGTCCTTGTGGATATAGACTGATTTATGTTTGAAAAAGTTCACGCTGGCTGCTTCGTGGAGAAGGATTTTAGGGGAGCAAGAATTGAAGCAGGGAGACAAGTTAGGGGGCTACTTCAGAGTTCAGGGAGAGGCATGGCATGGTGGAGATGGAGAGAAGAGGATGGATTCTGGAGCGATTTTGGAGATGGAGCTGACAGGACTTCCTGCCTATTGGAGGGAGAGACTTCCATCAAATGGTAGAAACACCAAGAAGGCAATTTGATATATGAGGCTGGAACTGTGGTAAAAAGCTATGTAGGGGAATACTACCTTATAATTCCCTGCTCTGCTGTAGGTGGGCCTTTCTCTAGGTGATTTGAAATTATACTTCCTCATTTCCAAATCCTTCCCAATCTAGGAAGAGTTGGAGAAGGAGGAATATGGAGAGCTGTTTCTTTCCTGGTTCCTGGCAACACTGGCCTGTCTTGGGGGCGTTAGATGTCCCAGGGGATTGGTTGCCTTCACCTTTGCATAAACAGCATTATACAGCACATTGAGGCTCCCACAGAGGTCCCTATTCCAAGCTGTCTTGGGAAGGGAGATTTTTTAAAGATAGGCCATGTCTTTGAAAAAATAAATGAGGACTTGGGACATCCCTTTTTCAAGGTGGCTAGCTTCTGCTCCATGCTTGTGTAAAGCACGTTTATTATGTGGAACTGGACAATGCACTTTCCACCCTTTGGTTTTTCTTGCTGCAACTGAGCTCCCTGAAGGTATGCCTGATGCCCAGTACACAGTAGGTGTGCAAAAAACAAGTTTCTTAAATTGAATTGAAAACAGAGAATTAATGCCATATATAATGGTGTAATCTTTTTTAAAATAAATGCATCATGATGATATATTGTTCCAAAATGACAAATACAGGAACATTATTGACTTTACAGAGGAATTACTTTTCTAAGTTTTCATTCTAGAATTTATTTAAATAATAAGCCATCTAACACCTTCTGTTTTCATATTACTTTCTAGTAACATGAATACTTTGTTAATGTCAGGTAGAATTCTTTCCTGTATTCTTCAAAGCACTTCTTTCTTAAATTTTTATTCATTTATTTTTTGAGACAGGGTCTTGCTCTGTTGCTCAAGCTGGAGTGCACTGGTGGGAACATGGCTCACTGCAGCCTCTGCTTCCGAGGGTCAAGCGATCCTCTTGCCTCAGCCTCCCGAATAGCTAGGACCAGGGGTGTGCACCACAACTCGTGGCTAATTAAAAAAAAAAAAATGTGTGTAGAGACAGGGTTTCACCATGTTTCCCAGGCTAGTCACAAACTCCTGGGCTCAGGCAATCCTCTTGCCTCGGCCTCCCAAAGTGCTGGGATTACAGGAGTCAGCCACCACACCTGGCCCCAGAGCACTTCTAATGCAATACCTTATTCAACTGCATAAGAATTTGGAGAGTTAAACGGGCTTTTTTATTTCTAAGCATTTTTTTTACAGCACATTTTTTTTTCTGGCTATAAAAGTATGTCCATTGTGGGAAATACAAAAAAAAAAAAAAAAGAATAAACCATAATCCCACCCTAGAGATAAGTAAAACTTTCACATTCTAGTATTTTATATGCATCTTAATACACAGCTGGAATCCTGTTCCATATTTATTTTCTATGCTTTCTTTTTGCTTAATATGAAATTGTACACACTTTCCCTTGTTGGCTAAAAGCCCTTTGTGAACCTCTGAGTGTTTTTGTGTAATAATGTACCTTGTAAAATACTTGACGTGTGTATCACACTATGAAGACATTTTTATGCATACATTTTTCTTATTATTTCTTTTAATATTAATTCCAAGAACTAGAGTTACTGGGTCAAAGGTTATGAACATTATGAATATATATTTTTTGGCATTGGTCTCCAGAAAAGTTGTACTGGGAAGGGCCAGCTGTGCCTTTTTTTAATTTTATTTTTTATTTATTTATTTTTTTTTTTGAGATGGAGTCTTGCTCTGTTGCCCAGACTGGAGTGCAGTGGCACAATCTCGGCTCACTGCAAGCTCCACCTCCCAGGTTCACACCATTCTCCTGCCTCAGCCTCCTGAGTAGCTAGGATTACAGGCGCCCGCCACCACGCCTGGCTAATGTTTTTGTATTTTTAGTACAGATGGGGTTTCACCGTGTTAGCCAAGATGGTCTCGATTTCCTGACCTTGTGATTGTCGCCCGCCTTGGCCTCCCAAAGTGCTGGGATTACAGGCGTGAGCCACCGCGCCCGGCAGCTGTGCCTTTTTTATTTCTGTTTTTTAGGCAAGCAAAAGATGCTGAAACCTTTTTGATTTTTGATATATTTTTAGCATTATAGATTTAAAATATTTGCTTCTTTAATAAGTGAAAATGCTATTTCTGAGGTTTTAAAAAATAGACTTTATTTTTTTAGAGCATTTTTTTTTTGGTTCACAGCAAAATTGAGCAGAAAGTATACTCTCAGCCCCCACACATGCGTAGCCTCTCCCACTATCAACATCCCACACCAGAGTGATATAATAGTATGAGTTGTACTTCTTGTGTCTTTGCTTACTAGAACGGTTGAACCTTTTTTAAAATGTGTTTTTTAAAGCCCCTTTTTTGTGAATTGCTTTCCATTTTCATTGCTTGGTGATTGGAAAACAACTCAAATGAAATAAGATTGGTTATAGCCTTTGTCATTCCTATAATGTCTGTTTTGTTCTGTTATTTGAGATGGAGTTTTGCTCTCGTTGTCCAGGCTGGAGTGCAATGGCGTGATCTCAGCTCACTACAATCTCCACCTCCTGGGTTTAAGCAATTCTCCTGCCTCAGCCTCCTGAGTAGCTGGGATTACAGGCGCCTGTCACCATACCTGGCTAATGTTTATATTTTTAGTAGAGATGGGGTTTTACCATGTTGGCCAGGCTGGTCTCGAACTCCTGACCTCAGGTGATCCACCTGCCTCAGCCTCCCAAAGTGCTGGGATTATGGGCGCGAGCCACCATGCCCAGCTCTATAGTGTCTAATACAGTGTATTAGGCACTGGGCTCGTTCTCTAGCTTTGGTTTTCTGGGGATGGGGTCCAAGAATTTGCGTGCATAACAAGCCATCTGGGTGAGACTTACGTACCCCAAAGATGTTTGAGAACCACTGGTCTTATGCCTTACTATAGGCAAAGGTTTGCACCTCTACATGGAAAAAGAATAAGTGTTACTTTCTATTGGCTCTAACTAATAGGTGTTACTTCCTATTAAGAGAGAGTGCATGAGAGCTTGCCAGCGCCTTCTCATCAGTGGAAGAGTGCCAGAACCACATTAGTCAGATGTGAAGTTGCCTTGCAAGAATGTATTCAGATGACTCACATTTTGTCATTCACAGGTGATTGTAACTAGTTTGTATTCCTCTTCATAGAGCAGGTTCATTGAGAAAAAGCTGGAAGCTACAGAAATAATAGATAGGTCTTGAAATTCTAAATTCTTTCTGGTGAATTTTTTTTTTTTTTTTGATGGAGTCTTGCTCTGTTGCCTAGGCTGGAGTGCAGTGGCACGATCTTGGCTCACTGCAACCTTCGCCTCCTGGGTTCAAGTAATTCTTCTGCCTCAGCCTCCTGAGTAGCTGGGACTACAGGTGTGTGCTATCATGCCCGGCTAATTTTTGTATTTTTAGTAGAGACGGGGTTTCACCATGTTGGTCAGGCTGGTCTCGAACTCCTGACCTTGTGATCCACTCGCTTCGGCCTCTCAAAGTGCTGGGATTACAGGTATGAGCTACTGCGGCCGCCCAGTGAAATTTTCCTTTTTACTGTCAATGCCGCAAGCAGGTTTCCACTAAGGGAAACACAGAATATGTACATTCCTAATTTCTTTTTCTTTTTTACTAAGAAGTTTGAAAATCCGGAAAAAAATACACAAGTATTTTCT